AAATTTCAAGTGTCCTTAATGCGGGGTTGATTTTGTATGGAAACTGTCATTCAGGTCCTAGAAATGTGTCCTTTGTACTTATTAACGGGTGTCCTTATAAAGCGGGTTAATTTAACAGAAAATGTATGGAGCTTTCGTTGGGACTTTGAAACCTGTCCTTAATAGAGAGGTGTCCTTATTAAGCGGGTGCCTTAGAGCGGGGTTCCACTGTAGATAAAAGAAAATAAATAAATAAATAAATAAAAAGTAAAAATAAAAGTATATGTAAATATATATATAATATATATATACAGCGATATGCAGAAATTCTGATCCAACAAAGTATGTAGTATATAACTATATCGGGTGCATTATGGGTAATAGGCCCGCGGGATTCAAAGCGGGATTAAAAGTACCAAAGCGTTGGCTGGCGTTTTGCTTAAGATAAGTTACTTTTTAAAACAAACTCCGCTTGTTCCAACCAGAGAAAGAATTTTTACCCTGCCTAGGACTAGACAGTCGGCGTTATTTTCAATATAAACCGCTGTTTATTTTATTCAATTTTGATTAATACAAACGGCTTTAGTGCAATGATGATTAATATTCAAACTTTCACTCTCGTGAGTGAACTTGTTTTGCATAAAATTGAGAGAGAGAGAGAAAAAAAAAAGAAAAAGTAACCACAAAGAATCACTAATTCATCAGAGGAGAAGTGGAAGAATATGCCTCTCTTAAGTAAGAATAACCTCCGTTTATCTAGAAATTATATTCAGCCTGTTCATCAACATGAGATTTGACTGAGTTGACGCTCAATAACAATAACACGGTGGACTACGAATAAAGCAAAATATCCTATCCAGAGTAGCTCATGAACAATTTTTGTACCACTATTGTCATTAAATCATATTATCGACTGTTTTGGTTTCGCTGTCCTCGGAAATTGATTGCTTTAGAAGGGCACATATAAATAAGCGAAGAACGAGTTCAGAATTTAGCTCAGCTCAACCGAAACTTCCAAGAAGAGCGACTTCAGGACTGATTTTAAATTCAACCAATTGCAAAACTATTAATGTTTCACTTTACATCAATATAACCGTTTACAATATGACATTTTTTCTAATAGTGTAGAGGTATTAAAAAGTGAACACATAGCTCCCGCCCCTTGACTTTAGCGCTGCTCATAAACAACACTCGGTACGCCAGCCAACGCTTTGGTACTTAGCTTTGAATCCCGCGCGTCTATTACCCATAATGCACCCGATATAGTTATATACTATATACTTGGTTGGATCAGAATTTCTGCATATCGCTGTATATATATATATATCCTCCATTATATATTTTTTGACTTGTCTATCACTAGGGCTTTCTGAAAAAAATATCAAGAAAGATATCCCGCACTGTCTGATATACTTTCGATATACTTGTATTTAT